CCTTACAGATGTATTTAATAAATAAACTATGAAACTGATACATCCCATTCATTTATACTCTGAGAGATATATACATAGAGTTTATCAAAAACTAAAACACGAGTATGGGGATCTAGAGTGAAATATGTGGATAAGCCCTAAACCATGGGTGCAAACCTCGGAAAAATAGGATTTACCTCTGGCTTGTATTTGATAGAAGACATTAATCATTACAATAGGTTTATTGAATAGTAAAAGTATGCCTAAAACACTAACTTATTAGAAATAGTTTATTGTACATGAGATAAGACACAGCAATTAAGGTATTTTAATAATTGTTAAGCAAAATCATTTTCTTTTTAACAACATTAAATACGCTTAAAGGGAGTGTTCGAGAAAAATGAAAGGGGCTTAATGTGATAAAAAAGCGCTTTTGATCGCTACTAATCTTAAACTTCTATCTGTTGCGTTTATGAGGAGGAAATTGTTAAAAACGACTAACACCAAAGAACGCAGCGTCAATACAAATTCAGAAAGATATGCAACATTCAACTCGGATCGAACAGTAGTCATCGATTATTTTTCGACGCATTCGTATACAGTTAATATTTCATAATATTTTTGATTTTGTTTTTTTTTGATTAATTTTCGCTGGCGCTGGATTTTCTAACATTCCTGTAAAATATAAAAATGTCGTCTTCATCATCAAAAATCCTCGAAACAGGAATAAATGTTTTCAAAAGTAACTCTCTGATCATGAAAAATACAAAATATTATGAAATATCAACTATTTACGAATTGTTAACTTAATTTTAGATGCATAATTTTACAGATAATAATAAAAAATAGCCATAGGCCTGGCATTTCCATAAAGTGGTCTAACGTTTTTGCACGTTATGAAGAGTTTTCTTTAGATTCAGGTTTTATTTGATTTATTTAAATCTAAATTAAATTCCTAGTGTGTCTGGTCATATTAAAAGTACAAAAAGTTAGACCACATTTTGTAATTTCCAAGACTAGAGGAATTTTGTGGTTATTGTTTCAAGAATCATACATGTTAAAGTATTTTGACGACTAATGCTCCAAATAATTTAAAAGTTAAAGACGACCTTCAAGTTGTCTTTTTACTGTCAAGTTTTATGGGACACCTGTACTTCTTGCATTTAAATTAATACCAACCTCTAAATAGAGTAAACTCCAGGAATATTAATTATGATGAAAGACACTGTAATATAATTTAGTTTGAAAATCTAGTAGCTTTGATGTAAATATCAAGCACTAGAAACTTCTAGAAATATTTTTAATTAACTTAGGAACATGAAGGAACATGAAGGAACATGAAGGAACAAGAAGGAACACGAAGAAACATGAAGTAACATAAAGGAACATGGAGGAACATGTAGGAATTTGAAGGAACATGAAGAAACATGTAGTAACATGAAGTAACATAAAGGAACCTGAAGTAACATAAAGGAACATTAAGTAACATAAAGGAACATGAAGAAAAATGTAGGAACATGAAGGAACAGGAAAGAACGGGAAGGAACAGGAAGGAGCAGGAAGGAATATGTAGTAACATGAAGGAACTCGAAGTAACATAAAGGAACATGTAGGAACATGAAGTAGCATAAAGGAACATGAAGGAACATGAAGGAACATGAAGGAACATGAAGAAACATGTAGTAACATGAAGTAACATAAAGGAACCTGAAGTAACATAAAGGAACATTAAGTAACATAAAGGAACATGAAGAAAAATGTAGGAACATGAAGAAATAGGAAGGAATATGAAGGAACAGGATGTAGTAACATGAAGTAACATAAAGGAACCTGAAGTAACATAAAGGAACATTAAGTAACATAAAGGAACATGAAGAAAAATGTAGGAACATGAAGAAATAGGAAGGAATATGAAGGAACAGGAAGGAACATGAAGGAGCATGAAGGAATATGAAGGAATATGAAGGAACATGAAGGATTATGAAGGATTATGAAGGAATATGGAGGAACATGAAGGAACATGAAGGCACATGAAGGAATTTGAAGGAATATAAAGGAATATACAAGAACATGAATGAAGGATCAAGAAGGAACATGAAGGAACATGTAGGAAAATAAAGGATCATGTAGGAACATGAAGGAACATGTAGGAACATGAAGTAACATAAAGGAACATCAAGTAACATAAAGGAACATGAAGGAACAAATAGGAACATGAAGAAATATGATGGAATATGAAGGAACAGGAAGGAACTTGAAGGAGCATGATGGAATATGAAGAAATATGAAGGAACATGAAGGATTATGAAGGATTATGAAGGATTATGAAGAAATATGAAGAAATATGAAGGAACATGAAGGAAAATGAAGGAACATGAAGGAACTTGAAGATATTTGAAGGAATATAAAGGAATATACAAGAAAAATAAATGAAGGATCAGGAAGAAACATGAAGGAACATGTAGGAACATGAAGGAACATGAAGGAACATGAAGGAATATTAAGGAATATGAAGGAATAAGAAAGAACATGAATGAAGGAACATGATTAGGGTTCTTGTGAACAAAAAAACCCTAAATCTGGAAAGGACGACATCAAGTGTTCTATCTGTATTGTTACAAATGTATTAGTTAGCTTAATAACACAGAAAGACACTTGCCTGCATGAACGGAACTGATAACTAAAAAATCAAAAATACTAAATAATAAATTTTGATACAATATTTAATTGGGTCACTCGTTATAGCGGGGTAGTGGTAACCCCCCTAACCTCTCAAATCCTACCATTAGGTCACGTGATCAGATTCATCTATCTAGCATAGGCTCCAATAAACACTTTCCATACATATTAAGTAATGAACCACGAAACATATAACAGACAATCACACATTTTGTTCTCATTTAACTGCTTTACATGCTTAGGATGTTTCCTATATCGTGGTTAGGATTAATCTGGGCCAAGCGCTGTAGCCATTAATCTGGACCGAGTGCTGCTGGCTAGGATGGACAAAGGGGACTGAGCTCTGCGGCTATTATTATTACCCAATATATTTATAAAACCATGAGAAACTTTTTTTCAATTTGGATAAATCTAGTTTTGAAACCTCTAAGTTCAAGACGACATTCTTGATCGATTTTTGAAAAATATAATACGACATTACATCTTCGTTTTAACATTATTTTGGCATTAGTTTAAACTAATAATAGGCAGCAAAATTTTCATATACTTTTCCTTTGAATTAATTTTTACGTTTCTTTTTAAAATAATCTGAGGCCGAAATAAAATAATTTGAGCCGCGGCTTAAATTTAAGCCACGGCTCAAATATGGTTGGTTCCCCTTAAAATTGTATTAAATCTTTCAAGATTTAAACCTGAGCTCAATTGAAACCGGTTTTTGGTAGATTTAAGCAGTGGCTCAAATTCATTAAATTCGGACACAGAGTGGATAAAGAGTGCTTGGATCAAGGTTGTATAATAAGGTTGGATGTCGTCTTCTAAGACAAATACAGGGTTACCCAAAAAGCATAAGACTGTAAAGACGACCGGAAACTCTTAAATTCTAGGGTTAATTAATGTATTCTGCTTTAGGTATATTTATCTAATGGCTTATTTAATCAGAAACAAATAAACAAATGAGTTTATAGTTAATACAAGGAAACAAACAGTATAATTTTCGTACAATCGTCTCTGAAGTCTCATGGTCTTTGTGGGTAAAACACATAGATAAAAACCTCATATGACGTCACGATATCGCCTCTATCACATCAAATGAGGTTTTTATCTATCTATCTTTTAAGAGACGACTTTTTTGCCAACATCGGAACAATCTTATTTACATCCTTGGCTAGAATTAACAAAAAATTGAGACATTTGGGTATCTTGCTGAATAAGGCAGTTTGCATTTACATGAAAGATTGTGATTTATATTAACATGACCATTAATCAGGAGGTTGTTTTTACCTTTAATTAGGAAAAAGTCTATTTCAGACAAAACATGTTGGACGTTTTTCAGTTAGTTATCACCACATGATAAAAACCTGTTTTTTTTTTCTTTATAAACTGTGTCATTATAGGTGTAAAATATAAAATTCGCCTGTTAACTGTTAAATTTATTAGTTCATAATGTATTTCAATAGTTGTGAATTAAACAAGAAAACCAAATTTGTTATAAAATGCGAAATCTCATTGATAATGAATATCTAAATAAAGAAAATTTTATTTTTTCACACTTTTGTAATTGAATAAGAAGTATAAATGAAAAATTGATGTATTAAGCGGCTGACAATTATTTTTCTTTTTAAATTTTAAATGAGTTCAAAATTATTTATAAGTCATCCGTCATCCTGGATTCACAAAAATACACTTAAAAATTTACCTGGTATGATGATTTTGTTGCTTTTCTGTCTGAAAATTAATTATATTCAGTTAAAACAAAAAAAGGGAAATCGTAAAGTAAAACACTTTAAAACAACGACTTAGTGGGAGTCAAATGAAATAACGTTCTGCAGATCCTGCACTCACAGTCTGTGGAGATTTATGAGACGATAAAAGAATTCAAAAGTTTCATACTCGGGTCAAAATTTTGACGTAAAACTTCGATCACTTACCTCGATAAAACTGACCTTTAAATGATTTATAAACTTACAAACTATTTAATGGTTACAGAAAACTTGCTATAATTTTTAGAGTGTTTAAAATGTAATTTTTTATAAGCATTCTCGATATTTATCGCCTACATGAAGATGATTTGTTGTTTACAAATTATCATATTTCAATAATGCAGTCCTGTAATATGCAATTTTCTTCATAATATTGCAAATTTTCATGTTTTGAATTTTCAAAATGTCGTCTTAAGTGAAATAAGTTCTTAGACAGTAATTTTATTTTTACTTTAGCCTCATAGTACTCTATCTTACTTTAAAAATGTAAATTAATTTCCGTAGAGCATCTAAAATGTTATACATGTAAAATCAATTATGTAAACAAATAAACTGTAAACTATTAAGCGGCAAATATAGATATTTTTAAAAAGTTTTTTTACTTTATTATACTTTTATTTGGTAAACTGATATACATTTATTTGTTAATTTTTAAGGTAATTTGATGTACTGCATGATACACGTTAATACAATCAACAGATACTTTAATATATAGCGACGGTAGAAAGGGAGGGGAGAGGAGGAGTTTAAAAGTGAAAATTGAATACTTAATGGAAAAAAATTGCTTAGTACTATTTTTAAGAATAATTTACAAAAGTAATCCTATACTTCAACCCATGAAAACATTCTTTGTGAAATTTTTAAAAAAGAGAATAATTTTTCCAAAATTACAAAACAATTTTCAAGAATTTTGTTAAGTTATTTTAAAGGCACAACAAGTTTAAGCTTGTCTAAATCTCAGGGAAGGGAGGCGGGGAGGGGATCACTTGTTAGTTTTAAAATATTATTATTTACATGAAATTTAATCAAAATACTCAAAATAAAACTTTCGTAGTAGAAGATGATTTAAAATCTTTAAATTGTCATGAACACATGATTACGCATTCATCTTTTAATCAGATAATCTTAATTTCAGCTTTATTTAAACTTAAATTCTTATAATTCTTATCATGATCTTTTAAAAATAACTTTTTTTGTCTTTTTCATTGATGTTTTATCACTTGGTGGTTTTTATAATGTTGATTTTTCACTTAACTTTATATTTTTGATCTTAAACCATACTTTATTGTTATCCTGAATATGTTTAGCCACTCACTTGTGTTTTACATCTTATGTTATTTTTTTTCATTGATAATTGCTTTGTACTCAATTCTAGAGCTCTCTAATTTTCGGGGATTCTGGTTTAGAAAGAAGCGCTGTAATAAGTTTAAGCTGAGATTTGGTCAATTTATACGTCTTATACGTTTCCTGAATTGGTTCTTTATCCTCTTTTCCAACTCTTCGTCCTGTTAGCCTGGTAAACTGTTCCTCATACTCTTTCACCGCTCGGCGCGCCACTTTCTTCTCTTCCCGGATTTTCTTGAATTCCATCTGAAGTTGATCACGTGACATATCATGCCATTGGTTCCCAGATTTCTGTTCTTGGCTCCTAACCTCAGCTGCACTGAAGGAGGGCAGATCCATGTCGTGTCGACTAATCTCGAGATTTTGTCGGGTTGAGCGGGCATGCCCAACCTCAAATTGTATCCTCTGAGGAGGGGTGAGCTGGGTGAGGTCAACCTCTAGGTCCTCCGGTATTGTAATCAGGTCCGAAACAGATTCTTTACTCCGAGCCTGAAACAAATGTTTGATAACTCTTTCTCCGGTTTGTTGTATTTTTTCCTGTATAATATCGAATCCTGCTGAGCAAACCAGTTTGTCAAGTTTTCAGTCAGGAAATGTTAAGAAACCATAAAACTCTAGCTACGTATTATTTTGCACGAACTTTCAATATTCCATTCACTTTTTAACCAGGAAGGAAAGAAATTTTTGGACCCCCGAACCCAAATCCTGAAATTACTAGATAAGTTTTAAAATTTAAATATAAAAAAGTTTTACCGAAATAGATCTCCTAGCCATCCTCTTTACAATCCTGTATCGTTCATAAACCTCCTTCATCACCTCCTTTTCAGCACGGTCCTCTGGATGTCCAAACTCCTTCTCATATTCTAAAAAAAGGGACTGTAGACGTTATTCTTAGTCAACCCTCATCTATAGATAGGCATTGCGTGGTTATGCTGCAGAGCCAATAACGGAAATTGAGAAAAGGAATTGAGTCTTCGTTTATTAATCCCTTTATCTTCCCAACCCAGTGTCGTAGACCTTAGTTATTTCAAACCATGAATTTTGATGGATCAAATAATCCAAGTTTGAAATATCAAAGGTTTACATTATCTGGTTGTTGAGATATAGGTATTAGAAAATTTGAGTTTGTGGCGAAGACTCAATTTAACACTTTCCAAGGATTGCAGTGCTTAAGGCAAAGTGTTCAATTCCTTTATGACATTCAACAAACTTTGTTTTCGTCATTTTTTTCCATTTACTATTATTTTGCAGGAAAAAATAACAACTTCAAGCTGAATGATTGACATCTTCTTTCTAACTTTTAAGTCCTTCCAAGAAATGACGTCCACGATTTTGCCTCTGGCTTAACTACTTTATATAAAAATGTGAAGAAATTGAGACGAATGTGTTCAGAATGAAACTGCATAGTTTTTAATTACCTCTCAAAGCATCGTGCATTTCCATCTTTTCCTCATAAATTTGATCTTTGGACATTTTCTCAAACTCATAAGGTCGACCTTTAGTTTGTCGACTTTCATCAAGCATTGACATAATCTCGACCAATTTCTCTTTAATCTTGACAAGACTATTCGGACCGGTGGGGGTGTAGACGTGCCGACGGCCATATTGTTTTTCCGATTTGTCGGATTTGAGTTCTTTCTTGAGTTTGGCCTGCTCCGCCATTAGCTGCTTGAGGTGTCTGTTGTTCAGCTTGTCCTGATGGGAGGGCCTGTATCCCTGCTGTTCCTTCAGCTCCTGTTCTAGATCAGAGATACGACGCTTGATGCTGTTCAGCTGTTTACTTAACTGTTTTTGGCGGGTTTTCTCACTTTCTCTTCTAAACAAATTAAAATTAGAGTCTAAATACATATTTCATTATGTTATTAACCGTAGATCAGCATGTAATGTGAATAATGTACTATGATCGTTTAAAGATAATAAATAGGTTCCAGGGGAAAGTGAGAAGTTTTTGAACCAGGTTAAGATAGTTGAACTACTTAGCCGAATAAAAAATGCTTGTTCACTAAATACAACCTCAGGAAGTAAATTTTATATTAAATTTTTATCTTTATGCTGTACGACAGTACGTTTCAAAACACAATAATTCAAAAATTACTATTTACCTAGAAGGATTTTTTCTCTGATTAACATCCATAAACCTGTCCGACCTGGCATTCTCAAACCTAGTACTGTCGGAGCTCCATTTCTCGAGGTCCATGGACTCCGTGGAGTCCTGTGAGTCCGTAGAGTCAACTCTCATGATGTGTGCCAAATGTTGAGACACCCAGCTCTCTCCAGTCTAGAAAACATTTTACAAATAATGTTTTATATTGTTTTTTTAAAAATAGTTTCGCATTTAAATAAATTGAATTGAAAACTGAAAGAGAGACTTTGTCTATAGAATAGTAAAACTTAAAACCAAATTTTTTTATTGGACCATGAAGGGAATACGTCTTTATTTTAACCCCTTCAAAAAAAGGTATCTTCAAAACAGAAAACATATGGGGGGAATTCAAAGAGTGGACCTTTAAAATGAAGGAAGATTTTGATTGAAAAAAAAAATTAAAACAAACCTGTTCCCGTCCCATTGGAGTATTCTGATCCATTCTTTTTTCTTCGAGAGGACTGAGGGGGGAGAAGGATATTGGGAAAGAAGAACAGACGGGAGAAGGGGGTGAAGGGTGGGAAGGAGGGGAAGAAGGAGAGGAAGATACAGTAACAGAAGAGGAGGAGGAGGAGGACGAGAAGGAACGATTGTAAAGAAAGCTAAAAGCATTTTCTTTTCTTTCTACTGTCTTTAAACCCTAAAAAAGAGTTAAGAGTTTTATAATAGAAAATATGGAAATATTGTTTTAAGATAATTTGTTTTACCTCCTCTCCTTCTTTTTCTTCTTGGTGAAGAATATTTTCTTGATTCTTGATAAAGGGTTTAGGTTCATCTTTACTCCAGGCCCTAGCTGGGATCTGTAGATTCTCTAGGTAGGGTCGGATACTAGGAGTCCTGGTCCTTTCCAAGGAGCAGGATCGAGGAAATTTCCGTTCATGTTCTTAACAATAAATATCATTGTAATTGTTTTCTTTAGATAGTTAGTCATATCCATTGTTTATTGTTTAAATTTTAAAGTGAGAATGAGATCATTTCATTAATAATTCATTAACAAATATCTTGTTTTTCCTCAATGACTCATATAGGAGACTCCAAAATATATGAATAAATTTAATTGTAATTACCATTTGCGATATCTTGCTGCTCCTTTCGTTTCCTAGGACATAAGCAACAGGAGCTTTCTTTTATCACTTCTTTCGCCTCATCCGCCTCACTTATATCCGGACACACGGTGCATAGGTCAGAGGGAGGGGCGGAGGTATTTGGTGGAGCGGAGTGAGACTTCTTGGATCTCAAATCCCCTTCACTTTTAACAGTCCTTATACTAAAAATGAATAGAATAATTATAAAAATACTAATAACAGTTTTGACAACTTACTTTATAGACAAATTTAAAATTTTACACATTCTTATGGTGAAGTACTAATGTAGAAATTAAATTTGAAAATCTATCAGATGGTTTCTTGTTTTATTTTCTTCTGTAATACATGAATAAAGTTGGATGGACGGGTTAAGCTGGATTTGTTAAGTAGGTGTTTATGATTCAAGATATTCCAGTTAACTGAACAGTTTTCAATGCAGTAAGAAAAAAATGGAAAGTAAGACAGATAGATAGATAGTTAGAAAGATAGAGAGGTAGATGAAAATTGCACATTGATAGATAGATAAACATTGAAAATGAATACCTTCTCTTTTTACAATTCAAAGATCAATTATAAATAAAGTGAAAATTGAATGAATGGATAGTTTAGCATATTGAGGTCATTGATGGAGGGGTTCTTTAGAGGCTTTTTCTGAGAGGGAGGTTCTTTAGAGGCTGTTTCTTAGAGGAAGAATTAAAAATTGAGGTGAACCTCTCATGAAGGTTTTTAAGGAAATCGCTTCAAATTGAAGCTGCACTTTTTGAACAGCTATATACGTCGGATTTGTTCAAGGTTCAGGTCTAAAATGAAATTTAGGTAAGAGTTGGGTTTTTATTTCAACTCTTTTAAACAGCAACAGTGTCTAGAAAGGTATTCCACTTATTTCTTCTGAAACTGCTTAGTTTTAGCTAAAACGTTGTAAAATTTAAGATAATTAAAAACCCCACGGCAAATTAAGTGTGTACAGGGTATACCAATAATAATAATAATAATAATAATAATAATAATAATAATAATAATAATAATAATAATAATAATAATAATAATAATAATACCAATAATAATAATAATAATAATAATAATAATAATAATTTTGACACCATGCATATCTGCCATCAAGGCATATCAAACATTGACAGGTTTTTATTTTAGTGGTATAACGTAGTAGTAGTGGTAATTTGAAACTTGAATTGATATCATAAAGGAAAACAACATTGTTATTGCGAAGTATAACGATTGGAATGCAGATGATGAATCATCAATATCAATAATATCTGTTAAAAAACATTATTTAAAAAATTTTAAATTTAGAAACACCAATTTTGAAAGTTAAAAAGCCTCCTAGCACAAGTCATGTAAAAATCTCATAAATGAATTCAAAATTGGCTGGAATCAAAGCCTTCTCGTAAAACATCAACTGCACTCAATTTAGATTTAAAAACAAAAACTTTCCGATGATTCTACTGAGTTCCTAAAATTCAAATTAAGATTAAAACTGGAAAGTTGCCTCAAGTTATAATTTTGTATAAAGATTGTGTAAATCTTGGTTATACTTAGAACATTTTGAAACCAGTTTTCTAGTAGTTGGAAATCTAAAATAACAACGCCAATAGGTTAAAAAAATAAGAGGATAAGAATATTAGAGATGTAGGCGAAAAAAATCTTTTTTTTCGAAAATTTTACTTACTTTATTATACTGTTAGTTTTTCTCTGATTACTCTCCTTGTTATTGTTATTATTGTCTGTTAGTGCGACAACATTTGCGTAAACTGATGATGCATGGTTCTGCATAGATTCTAGGGATAGGTCGGCGTACGCAACTTTCCTAAATAAAATTGCGTAGTTAGAACACTGAAATGCTTGAAAGCTTTAAAACTTGAACAAAATTCAATATTTGACAAGAACAAAATGTTATCTAAAACTTAAATTTATAATGCTTAGGTTTTTTAATTTTTTTTCCAATGTTTTTTTTTTAATTTGAACAAACCGCTTAGAGATTCAATCACTCCCTAGAATTTGATTAAAATCTTTTTGCATTTTTAATAATGATGCCACAATAAAAAGTGTATGCAAATGTCAACAGTATAATGAATAGTCACGAAAGGAATAATTAAAAAATAAATATATTCAAGATATACTTGAAAAACAAGTGTTTTCAAGACAAGCCTCCAAAACCAGAAAATGTGGAAATATTTGAAAAAAGTTGAAAAAATCGACTAATTGAGGAATTTGAAAAAAGAGAAAAATTATAAATTACTACTTTACGACCTCTTGGCTCAATTTTTAAAACAATTTTTATTAGAGTTGCTCTTAGCTCATCTAGATCTGATTTTACGCGCCGTGTCAGAATTTAATGAATTTAAACCGCGTCTCAAATAACCTGAAAAACCGGGTTTAATTTAGCACTGGCTTAAAATTTGAATAAAATTTTTAGTGGAACCAACCTTATTTGCGCCTCGGCTTAAATTTAAGCCGCGGCTAAGATTCTTTAAATTCGGCCTCCGGTTATATAACAAAATTTCAAAACATATTATTTATTCTCATTAGCTCTGTAATTGCAGCAGTAATGATTAAAGAAATATAAGATTTCAATCTTACGTAAAATTTACTTTAGTTAGAAGTGAGAAGTGGCTAATATTTTACTTTAGTTAGACGTGAGGAGGGGCTAATATTTTACTTTAGTTAGACGTGAGGAGGGGTAAAATTTTACTTTAGTTAGACGTGAGGAAGGGGTAATATTTTACTTTAGTTAGAAGTGAGGAGGGGGTAATATTTTACTTTAGTTAGACGTGAGGAGGGGCTAATATTTTACTTAAGTTAGACGTGAGGAGGGGCTAATATTTTACTTTAGATAGAAGTGAGGAGTGGCTAATATTTTACTTTAGTTAGACGTGAGCAGGGGCTAATATTTTACTTTAGTTAGACGTGAGCAGGGGGTAATATTTTACTTTAGTTAGACGTGAGCAGGGGGTAATATTTTACTTTATTTAGACGTGAGAAGGGCTAATATTTTACTAGTTTGTGTATGACAGATTATAGTTATATCAAAATAAAAGCATTTTTTCCTCTCTACAAAAAAAATCAAGATATATCTGACTTTTCACCAAATATTGCAACCGTTACCACTTCACATCCTGGGTTACAAAAAAAGGATGGATTGTGAACAAGGGCGATAAGAAATATATTTTTATATAAAGCAAAATAAATATATTCAATATTGTTTTCAAAGATAAGATTCAATTTTGCAACTTTTTTTAAACAAAATGTCAAATCATTAGATAACAGAAATCATACGCTGGTAGGTGATTATATCAATATAGTAAAGACGACATTAGAATTTAATTTTTATTTATATCAAGCTCTTAAACAGCATGAATTATACACAAAAACATTGAAACAAAGAGAAGCTGTCAATAATAAAACCTTCTCTTTAATTACTTATAAATGTGTAATTGGAAAAAAGCTTAATAACAATTAAAACTTAACCCTATCTTTGCTGGGGTACTTGAAAACCAAGATATGCTGGGGGGGGGTCAATTTGCCCCCCCCCCCCTCTAAATCCCATGTTTGATGTCCAAATATGACAAATGATAAATCATTGGAAAGCTCTTGTGCTCTACTTTTAGAATCTGCAAAAAAATTTGCAAATTTGCAAAAATAGAAATTTTTATCGCAAAATCCAGTTATATAGTAAAAATGTTTGCAAAAAAAAATTTGTCCAAAAAATAAAAAATTATACATTTTTGAAAAGCCCTTGACCATGCCATTTCAAATATGCAAAAATTTTTGCAAAATTTTAAATAACCTGATTTTTAATCAAGAAAAACTAAAAATGTGCAAATTTCCTTTGACAGGTTGTTTGCAAAAAATTTGCAATTTTTTTTGCAAAACTTGTGCAATTCGATTCCTTATGTCAAAGGCTTTCCAAAAAGCTAAATTTAATCAAAATCTGACAAGTGGAAGTGGGTAAAAACAAAGATTTAGTTTGTTACAGGAAAAAGCAGTCATGCAGGCAGTGTGCCTGAGGACTCAGGCAGTTAGTATTAAAGCCCGGTTTTAGGCCTAAAGGGAGGGCTTTGGGTATGTAGGAAAAGTCAGAAAATTTCAACAGCCTCAGACCAATACCTTTTGAGTTATGTAAAAAAAACTACAGAGGGGGTCAAATTGACCCCCTCCCAGCAGGAATAGGGTTAATAAAAAAGTTGTCTTTATTATATTACCTACCACCGTAAGCAAACCATAGGAATGCCTAGGTTTCTCTCAAAGTTTATATTGAAAATGTATAATATGTATTAATGTATAAATTGTACTATAAATTATAATTTAAAGAATTAAGATTGAACCAGAATTATGATCAAACAAATAGACACACTCCAAAGCAGAGAATACTATATGTATAGACAAGCATGGAAACCCAGCTTTACTTGGAAACATTAATTTCTTTGTAAAAGTCAACCCACTGAACCTAAAATTTTCAGACCAACTCTTGGTTCTATAAATCTATTCAATTCAAGTTTGAGGCAAATCGGTCGATCGGGTTCCTGATTTATGGTCGGAATATAGTGCATACGGACAAAGAAAGATTACTACTTTATGTATTTATACCATTTGTGTGTAATAAGCCTGTGGATTAAAGATCCTCCCATCTCTCTTCTCTCTGAATCCTGAATCATTTTCTCACTCGTCAGTTCTAGGTTCGGTATATTCTTAGTCTTTGATTTTAATCAATCAATCATAATGTGATCAATCAATCAATCATACTCATGGAAGAGCTGCTTCTTTCTCATGAATGATGTAAGGGAGAGTGAAAGGGTGGTGTAGATGGTGATGATGCTGGGGTAGTTACCGTGATACCTGTACACACTTGATATACATATCCTTGCAGGCAACATTGTAGATAACAGCAACACCTGGTCAGAGTCAACATCATCATTTAAATATTTTTTAAGAGAATATTTTTGTCATTTTCCAACAAATACCGCATCCCCCCCCCTCCCCCCCTTGCTATATTTTTATATTCTATCAATCGATTTCAATATAAATTCTCTTTGGATTATTAGGTCTTCAGTTTTCAATAATTTTAGTTAGTGAAGGATTAGAGGCGTATACAGGCTTCGTGGGGGGAGGAGGAGGTGGGGGGATATTTCTAAAATACATGAGATTTTCAGCTTTGAAAGAGGGTTTATTTATAAGTTAAAGCCTTGTCCCTGTAAACGCATGCAGTAAAGCTTTTATCATTATCAAAGTTTTCTCTTTCCAAAAACATTAAAAGATAATTTTCAAATCGTATTTTTAAGATTTGTTTTTAGTAAAACTCTTTAACTTTACACAAGTCTCAAAGTATTCTAAACTAAAGTTGTTCATTTTCAGATTTATTTTTGAAGGTCAATAAAAAAAAGTATTGTAGTCAAAAAATGGTTTTTACTTTTTTTTAACCAAAAAAAATAGCATCGTAAATATTTCTTTCCCGACAAAAATTGTGAATTTTCCCTTTACAAAAAGCCTTTAAGCAATCAACTCAATGTCATGCATCCAGCATTTTATGTTTTGCACATTGCACAGTGCAAGCAAACCCAGATAATTTAAAGAGACTTAATCGTAAACATATTTTAGAAGACAAAATCTCATACCAAATTTAAATATTGTAACATGTTTTAAAAATTTGATTTTGTTCCATTATTTAAAATATAATTTTTTATCTTTTTTTATTTAATTGATGAAGTTTTTCCTTAATTCTTCAAACTTGTTTTGATTTGATTTGATTTTCTTGGACTTGGAGAGTTTTTGTAGTTTTTCTTTTTTATCTGTTTACTTTTTGGGAATCACTGTCTTCCACACTTTCCAACCAGAGTTAGGTAACAGCTATATGGGGTATAGCTGTTATAGAGAACGTATGTTACTGAGAGGATGACAGTTTTGGTCTGTCAAGATTTATATTTATACCGGGAAACAGTCATTGTTTTACGATAATTCTAAATATGTGTTGACAGTGGTGTGGTAAAGAGCGGTGCACTGCCTGTTGGAGTTGGTGATATCGTAACAATATATAGTTGAAGGTAGTTGGTAGACTGAAAGAATGTACGACGGCGGCCTGAAGCCCTCACGGCCTCAGGCCACATCAAATAAATTGCGCATTGCGACTGCGCGCTCTCTTTGGACCCTGTTCGACCATATGCCTAGTCTGGACTGAGCCAAGCCCCCAAAATTTTCCACAACTCTCGGCTTAAGTTTTATATATACTGCCTTTTTGAAGTATAGATAGAAGGATAGTATGGATCTTTCTAGACCTTCAGAGCTTTAATAACAAAGTTAATATGAGTCGGTTCTAACTGGATTCAACTAGGGTTGGGCACATTCAACTTTTTCTAACCAACGGTCTATGATATATTAAATGGCGCAAATTTGCGCCGAAGAAAAAAATTGTTAACAGTCAAAGAAATCGTTAACAGCACAGCAGTTGACGGTCTATTTCAGTATTTGCTAACGGTTATGAAATCGTTAACGGTGCAGTTGTCAACGGTATTTTGCAATATCAACGGCGTTAACGGTTTGTCAAATCGTTAACGGCACTGGCAGTTATACTATATTTATCCTCTCTGCGGGCTGAGTATAGCACAGCTAGGGTTTCCCAATAAATATGGAAAATGGACTTTTAAATCATCTTCGATCAATGCGGAATTATTTCATGAATACAATTATTTCAGTTTTCCAGTTTAAACATCTAATATCGAAAACGCCTTGTCTTCACATTTTGAAAATGTGGTCTACCATTTTTGTATCTTCAAAATTGACGGAGATATTGCGAAATTTGTAAAAATTTCAATT